CAACATATTGGTAGAGAAGAATATATACATACATAAAATTTTTGACCTTCACACTATGTTCTGTTTATGAATTACTTTATTTCAAAAGTTGTGTGTGTATATCACATGGAGGCAAATTTACATACGTGATTTAAATATACCAAGCTTTTTGAAATGTGTGTAAACACTGGACTTCCTGCTGATTGCCAGACAAATTATGTGAATGATGCCATTTTTAAATAAACACAAGCATCTTTCTTTGCATTATGCATTATGCACTTTTATAAGCTCATATGTGCAGCACACACTGGTACTGATGTATCTTTGAGAGATATAGGCATAGTATTGTGTAAAAAAACAATACTAAAAAGCAGAGCCTCAAACAACAGCTCCACCATCTTCGCTCCAGACCTCACTGCAGAGGGAGACAGCAGGAAAGTGCATCCTCAGCATCACAGATCAGTTACATGTGCTGCGTTTTGGAATGCAGCCCATACAAAGGTCTATCTGCAAAAACACAACATTTTATTTACAATTCTGTAATGCCATATCTGACTGAAGTAGCTTTAGTGTCTTAGCTGCACCCTTAAATTTCCTGTGAAGGGATACATCAAGTATCAGCCCCTCTGAAGCAGACCATCTGGCAGCTGAGTGGAAGCAGCCAGCGTGAGATCATTTAAAGCCTCAGCAATAGTGAAAGATAATGAGGCACTGAGTGTTCTGTGTGTATAAGTCAGTTTTTCACATATATTTGCACTTCTGTTATTTATATATATATTCAAAAATTTAAAACCTTTAAGTGTAAAAGTGTCAGAAACTCTTTTAAATTGTCATCCAAGCTCTGCTAAATGGTCTTTCTGTCTAAAATTAATATGACCATTCACCCAAACGCAAATGTGGTTCTTAGTTAGGGATAATAGCCATACTTTTAAAAAAAAAAGCTTCCTTCATATATCAAAAGGCTGTAAAGGTAAAGGGCATTCTCAAATATAAAGTGAGCCTTAACTGCAAGAAGCAGTGATGGAATCTCAAGAGCCCAGTCCTCTTTTGTTCCAAGATCTTAATTTACTTAGCCTAATAGCACTGTCCCATCATGTGCACCAGCAATAACATATTTAGGGGTTTTAACACTTTTGACGAGGCAACAAGATGCTCACCATGATGGAGTACACCAGTGCCACGATGCTGATGGGCCAAACGGGGCAAATGCAGGAGATGATGACCAGGATGAGGTAATCCCGGGGCTTCGGGGTCTCCTGGACTGCGTTGCCGGTGGAGGAGCGGCTCAGACTCGCCTTGGAAGGGGAGAGAGGGGCGGAGGCGGCCAGCTGCCCGGTGGAGCCCGATCTCACGGAGACGCTGTGGCCGTTCTCCTCGGCTTCCAGACCCTTGTCGCTGCCCACGTTGACCGTGAAGGAGGTGGACATGTTCATCTGGTTCCCTCCAGGCTCAGTGGTCACTGCAAGTAGTTTCTCAGTTTCCTGGAAGTCTGGCGGCGGAGCGCCTCCTCCGCCCTCACCCAAACTGGATCTCTGGAAGTTGGCATCCGTGTTGATCGCCATGTTCACCTCTCAGTTAGAAAGATATATTTATATATTTATAAATTTGTGAAAATAAATATCTGTTAAAAATGTCTTAAGATTGATTACAAAACAGTGAATGACGGCACTTTGACTAGTCAAATTTTCGTTTTTACAACAAATCTCTAAAGCTGAGATCAACTTTGATAACGAAGAAGCTGACACGCCGAGGTGCGGTGGACGGCTTCAAATTAGATTATCTGAAAGGCGGAGAGATTTGATGGAAAAACTTCCTAAAAGCAACGAATAAAATCAGATGAAAGCAGCCTGACTCCTGTAAACATCATTTTCCTCCTTCGATCACTTGTCTTGTGTTCACACCCGACACTTGAGTCATTTCAAAAGGAGCTCACAGCACAAACCGTCCCTCCTCTTTGACACATCCAGATCAGTGAGAGGAGCTTCTGTCACCCATGCAGATCTAGATCCAGTCCCACCACTTGAGCCTGTGTCTGTTTGTTCTTGCAGAAGTAGCTTCAAGGGTTTCCTTCTCCTTTCATAAAAAAGAAAGATCAAAGTCAGACGTGATTTTCGAAGCAGACCCCCCCAAAATCGGACACTTTCTCCTCCTCTGTCTCCAGGAACACAGCCACTGCACTCTACTTGGGACCAGTGTCATGTTAACGCATTTAAACAGGGCACTTCCGGCGACGATGCACAAATAAAACTCGAGCGTTCTCAACAAAAAGCCAGTAAGGGAAAATAAACGAGTTCATCCTAACTGGTTGTACTGGCATCATGTAGGTTTTTTTTTCTACGTCAGTAACAGACAAAACCCCCCCCCCCCTTTTTTGTCTTTTGTTTTTTGCACACACACACACACAGTACTGTGCAAAAGTCTTGAGCCACCCCTATGACTTTCATTAGCCCACGTATCTGTGGAAAAATAGAAAACAGGTGCAGCGATTTACTGAAACCTGAAAACATAAATGAAAGAACAGTAGATAAGGAAAAAATATAGTTTACACAACCTAATGAAAATGAAAGTCAATATTTGGCATGATCACCTTCATCCTTCAACACAGCCTGAACTCTTTCTGGAAAGCTTTCTTATAATATCTTTAAGTAGTCTTCAGGAACAGTTCTCCAGGCTTCTCGAAGGTCATTCAGAGCTCTCCTTTGAATCCTGGATGGCTTTTGTTCTTTTCTACGTGGAGGCAAAAATTCATGATTGATAGTGTGTGTGTGTTATTAGGTCCAGGTATGCTTTGAATGCACTGGTAGTGTGTTTGTGATCACTGCCATGCTGAGAAATAAAGCTGTCATCAATCACACGCTTAGATAGCATTGCATGTTGAATCAAAAGTCTGAGAATACCAATTCTGACAAGATCACCAACACCACTGGTCAATGGCTGTTCACGTTCACTGTTGTACCTCTCTCATTAAAGAGAGGCCCTGAAGGGCCAGATGCATCTCTCAGGTCCTGTGTTGGATGTTTGCTGGATTTTTTCCTACTTCTTAACAGTTTGTGTGTTTTTGTGAGCACTTGCTAGTAACACATTGCCTAAAGATAATATTTGAAATGGATTCTTTGATAAGTTGTCTGGTAAGTGTCAACACTGATTCATCGGTTGAGTTCGAATGACTCATCATTAAGTGACTTAACAAACAAGCAAGACCATTTCAAAAAAGTCTGGCTAAAGACTTTTGCACAGATCTGTGTAACTCATGATAAATTATAATGGGCCATACTAATGTCCTTTGGCACAACCCCAAACTCATGAACACATGCCTTTACCAAGTTACTGCAACATAAGTATAAAAAATAAGAGACAACAACTTTTTTGGATACGTTAGCTACACAGTACGAAGCAGCCTACGTTCTAAAATAAAGTAAAATAAATACAAAAATCTCAGAAATCATGCTTTCATGTACTTCTCCTATAATGTGACATTCGCAGCGTTTTATTTTGCCTACATGATCGCTGTACTTCCGCCGTGTAACTAGCTCTCTGTGGCTAACTTGGCGCATTGCACTGTTGAAAGCGGGCGAAGCAGGGCTGTCGAGCCCCCTCCCTTCTACCTCCTTCCACTCCTCCTCCTCCCTTCCCTGCCCCGCTCCCAACATCAGCACCAGCGCTTTATGGACGAGAGCCAATGGCGAGTTGTGCTGCTATGCAGAATTTGCTGTTGTGGCATGTTTGGGCAGCAGTTCAGTGACACAATTCACCATAAATCAAATCTTTATAAATCAAAGTTTGCCAACAGATTTAGATACATATATTATTTATTTATTTGGAAAATACGTTGTTAGATGTGTGAAGAGGATCCTCTTGAGATAGACAGCATCCGGTTTCTAATGGGCTCTCTATTAAACCACCATGTTATTCTACTTGTTTACTTGCGTTAAACCAGGCAAACCTCCCGAAAAACAAATGCATAAAGGGGGTGATAATGGCCTGTGTTGAATGTCATGTGTGTGTGTGTGTGTTTCTTAATACATTTCTATTGATTTTCATCATCATTTGATGGTGCATTAGCATTCAGCGGTGACCTGTTATAGGGATGCTGGGTGGAAAGCACTGATAAACGGGGATTCCCTGAATTAAACCCAGCTCTCAGTATGATGTCATGCTATTGAGCTAGTATATTATCTCAGTGTACACACAGAGGCACGTCTGCTTTCAGTGTATTTTCTTCTTAAAGAATTTACTTAAAATCAGTTGTGTCGTTCAAGAGTGTTTCTCTCCTGTTCAGTTTATGTTCAGCTTACAGCACATTTGTAAATATATGAAGGGACTAAGGAGTAGTTTTCAGTGCCCACACTCCTGTGACAGATGTGAATGCTGCTGAGACAGAGTAATTTTCCCATCAGGGATCAGGTTGCTGCAGAGGTATAGCTACAGTTAGAGCTCCATCTTGTGGACGTTCAGCGTTTCTGCAAGACTAAGAAAGTAATTTCTCAGTTTTTGACAGGACGACTTGATAATATTTAAAATTTTCCACAACATTCACACAACTCAGGTCATTGCCTCTTAGTTAAATTACTGGCACATTCATAATGAGCATCTGGTCCCGAATCGAGTCAGTTAATGGAAAAATAAGTTCGATGAGTCAACAACGTCGCAAACCGGAACAGTAGTTTTAAAAATATTTTAATTTGTGGAAAATAAATGTACTCCCTTTCTTTGTGGCCTTTAAAAACTAAGATAACCACAACCGTGTCTCCATAGTATAGAGCAAATGCCAAGTTATTATAACCAGCAAATGGTTGGAATATAAATGACAGGAAAATGGTTAAAAAACAACCAGGTTAGTCCAAAGGTCACAAATTATAACCAAAGTTTTTCCGTTTTGCTGGAAGATGTCTCTTCCTTCCCAGGCTTTATGCTAAATGGCTTCTGGCTTCAGGGATATACAGTTTGGTCCACAAGGTTTTGTAATTTTGTACACCAACACAATGGAGTTTAAATCAAATAATCAAGATATGACTAAAGTACAGACTTTCAGACTTTAATCTGACTTATAGCATTTGGGTACATATTTTGGCCATGCTTAATAATGGAGTCAAAATACAAACAAATATTAATTACAATTTAATCATAATGCACATCCACAACATATAAACCACAATAAGTCAGGTTTTAACAGTGAAAAGTTCTTCGTTTCATTTTTACACACGTTGTCAGCTATAATTTGGAGTTTGATACAACCTTGCAGTTTATAAGATGGATCATTTTATCAGATACTCTCATGTAGGTGAGTATCCTGTGCAGAGGTTTGATATTTAACAGCTGAATTCTTCTTTAGTCGATCAGCTCTCAGTCTCATCAGGTCAAAACATGCCTTTGTATTTGAGCTTGTCTTCTTTGTTCTTCTCTTCCATACGCATGTTAAGTATGGCCAGTTCCTTCTTAACAGCCTTTTTCATGCCCGGGTTCAGGTCCAGCACCCTGCTGAAATCCTGCCGGGCCTCCGCCTCGTTCCACACCTCCACGTGGGCCTTCCCTCGCAGGTAGTAGGCCTTAACTATGCCTGCAGGACAAATATAAGCTTGTTTGTTTATGCATTTGCAAGCAGGCAGTCATGCGATAGAAATATGCAGCTCTGCAGTGAGAGAAGACATAACTGACATAACCGTTTAGGTCTATGAATGATAAAAACACGCACAGGCACCAGGATCAGACTTTAACGGGACTATGCAACCTGCAATTACAAGCGTCATAAAAAAATTCACACGCTCATTCTCACAGTATGAAAACATGCCCGGCATATAAAAAAGCCTGAATAAACTGTAAACCATGTGACAGTCTTTCACAACTGGCTGGAAAGTGTGATAATACTCTTGGCAGAGAATTCTCCCCCTGCTTTAAGATCCCTCGCTTGCTCGAGTTAAAAAGCTTGTGATGAGTGACAAACCTGGGTGCTGATTGATAATGTCGGTTGTGTGCTCAATGACCTCGTAGTACTCCTCCATGCGGAGCAAACATTGGCAGTAGTTAAGTGTTAAAGTGTTGGCCATCTTCTCCAGCTTCATCCATGGGACATCCCATGCTTTCTCCTGATATGGGAGGAAGAGGTTCAAAGTCATGCCTATATATAATGGCAAATCAGTGCTTTGTAAAGGAATTTCTGCCTTGGATCAATTTTTTCAAGTATTAACCTTGGTCTGAACATTTTTAATGCAGATGATGGCCTCCTTGTATTTCTGTGTGGCTTCTTGGTAACGTCCCTGTTTGTAGAGTTTGTTTCCCTGGCCGTGCAGCACAGGAACGGCCTTCAGCCTCTCCTCATCACTCAGAGCCCACGTCTCCCTGTCGTACTCTCTGGGCTGCTGCACCTGTCAGCCACACATGCACATACACGGACTTCAGTTTTCCATCAATTATACTACAGAGCCGGGATGTCAAACATAAGGCCTGAGGGCCAAAATAGACCTGGCAAAGGCTCCAATCCCGGCTACCAGAACTTGTTCCCTAATTTTAAATATTTATTTCTCACAACTCACAAGAGTCATACTGACAGATTTCTTTCATTTACTACAGCAGTGTTTCTTTGTTATGCAGAAAAACTGAGATATACTTTGAAATCTTTTTCTAATACTCAGACATCTCAGGGATTAAGTGTGAAATGAAACTTCTTTATACTGACAGCCCATTTATGATTAAAGTGTACAGTGAGTTTGACATCCCCGTCTAGATATGCTAAACCCCTTTAATGCAAATATATTCCTAATTTAAAAAGCATTTATTTGGTAGGTGAGCTTGCAGGTTGTCTTTCTTCTTTCTCACCTTGAGCAGCTCCAGGACGAAGTAGAGCGGCTTCGGTTCCTTCATCAGCTCATCCAGGTCTTCATAGCCAAGGCTGTGGTAGGCAAACATGTTGGCCATGCCGCATGTATGGATGTGCCAGTCGACTGGGTCTTTGCCCTCAGCGATGCGTCGCATGCTTTTGGACACCAGTGGATAGACACCAGTGTGCTGGAAAGGAGGATCACAAGGTGATACAAGACTTAAAGTGACTGAGGTGGATCACGAAACAGTCCATGACTTTTAGTCTGTGCCTCATGAGTTTGGTGTCTTTGAAATGGCTGTCTGTTAAATATTTATATGTTTTATGGCGATATGGCATCACTCAGCAACTAAAAAAACACTGTTATCGTGCTGACTGAACATTGCTCATTCATTACATAATTTACACCAAATGAACAGGTTTAAAGATGCTTAGAAGCTGAACTGTGATCACACTGATATTAATTGTGACACTATTAATTCTGCTCTAATAATCCAGCACAGAGATATAATTTTATTGCTTGAAAAGTAACAGGACAACCCTTTGCAACATTCCATACATATTACTTTTAATTGTTTCCCTATTGATCTGTCCAGGGTGTGCCCCGCCTCTCGCCCTGTGGTAGCTGGAATGAGCTCCAGGATGTTTGCCTATTTAATGTGTGTTTCTGTTTTAAATCTTGCCTGTTTTAAGCTGACACTTAAACACAAAGAATTTCATTATGTGACTGCATAATTACAATAAAGAATCTTGAAGCTTTGCACTAAACATTCTACATTGAGTTACTCAGCATTCCCTGGAGCTTGTTTTCTTAACAAGTTATGTTTGCCCTCTGCTGGGTGAAGAGTGGCAGCGCACGACACAGCCAGTGGAGCAGGCTATGTCGTGCAGACGTGTTGTTCGGAGTGAATAAAAGCTCTAAGCCCCATCAAATCTAATCAGAGTGGAGGGGAGTCAGTAGTGCTGATTCAGCAGGAGTCAGAGCCGATTAGGGAAAAGTGAGGCTGCTGCGGATTAATGACAGTATGCCTCGATCCATCTGTCTCTTACACACACACACACACACACACACACACACACACACACACACACACACACACACACACACACACACACACACACACACACACACACGCTAGCATAAAAAGTTAAAAAGTTATGGATTACATAACATGTGACAACATATTCTGAGGTAGCATGTCTATATTATAAAGCCTGTTGCAGGGATCGATCTGTTTATCTGTTAGTTTTTATCTGTCTTTGTTTATCTGTATGAGATGACAATTATTCATAAAAACAATCAAATATTCAGTGAATTAAAAGTAAAACTTTAGCCGGTACCCGACTTGTTATTATTGCTGCATGAATGTTTGTTTAAAACCACAAAATGATGATTTAGTTTTTCTTCTAACCCAAAAGTTATGAAGACTTGTGTGTCCCATATATACCTTAACCTTCAACCTCTATATCTGGAACACATCTCATCCTGTGTTAGTTTGTTTCCTTGTTATTTAAAGCATTGTTTATAACTCACACATCTGCAGCATGATGTCATTCTGTCTGCACGGACACACTTTTCAGACTAAGTTTGGATCAACAGGATGTAATCCACTTTGAGTTAGACGAGTGAGAAAATTAGGGAGCGTGCAATCAAATAAATACAAAACCAAAGCTTTTATTAGCACTTACAACGGTGTCACACCAGAACTCCGCCACTTCACCGATCCTCATAGAGGACAACAGGGTCTCCCAGATGTCCAGCTTAAACATGTTGCCAATCACTATCTCCATGGGTGTTCCAACCGCTTTGCTGTCATCTATCACCGTGCGCTCGTCGTCACACAGCTGCGTGCGGAAGTGGAAGGTCACCTGGATAAATAGTAAGGAGAAAAAGGCCCATGCTGTGTGAATCTGCTACATACAGTAGAGTCGCCTGTTATTTTTTCATATTTGCTAGGAAAATAGGAAATAGTTAAGTGTTTTATTGAAAACGTAATGGAAAAACACAATATAGAAGGTTTGTACAAAAATGAAACCACTGTCAATCAAATGCTTTCCTGATGGTGCTGCATGATGGATCAAAATCTGCCTGAACTCATCTGCATTCATAATTTCACCAATTTTAACAAGATCCCCAACACCCTTAAACCACTAAAGAGCCTCTGTGTTCTCCTGAGCTGAACCAAAAATGTCAAATTTGAATTCATCACTCCATCAAACCTGTTGGACCTGATTTTCAGTCCAGTTCTTGTGCAGTTTTGCACCCCTCAGCCTTTTCCCCACCTCTTTCCTTTCTATAAGAATAGCTTATTAACAGCCACCCTTCCACTGATTTCAGATGAGGCTTCAGATTTTCTCCTATTCTTAAAGACTGTTTATGTTATCCGGTGTCTTTAAAGTCTTTCAGGGACACATTGTATACCACGAGGAGATATACCAAGTTTTCAGCTAACAGCTCTTTGGCAATCACCTGTTGGTGCAAAAATAAAATTTTATGTCTGTCAAACTGTGTTATCTTTGGCATTTTCCATAGATTCAACAAAAGAAATGGGAACAAATCATTTGCTTTTGCATCCGGCTGCTGGTAAAAAAGTGCCTAAAGACACAATTTAAAATAGTCTCTTTGCTATGTTGACTGTTGTGTGTAGCCACAACACTGGTTGATCTCTTGACTTAGGTGCCTTTTTATATGATGAGGACTGGGCTGAAAATGTAAAAGCAGCCGATGTCCAAAGGAACAGTTTTAAAAGAGCTTCAGAAAGCTTCAAGACCACTTTAAAAATGACAAAAAAGTCTGACTCCTTGGAAGCAAAAGATAAAGAAATTAAGGTTGACTCAAGATTTGCGACAGACTGGCGACCTGTCCAGGGTGTACCCCGCCTTTCGCCCTATGACAGCTGGGATAGGCTCCAGCGCCCCCCGCGACCCTGAAAAGGATAAGCGGAAGCGAATGGATGGATCAAGATTTTTACACAGTACTCTACAGAATGGACAAACTGGAGAAAACGATGGCAGTACCTCCCCAAACAGGTTAGTTTACATAACATAGCGATAGCATGAGTGTAAATACCAGAAGAATAAAGTGGAAGAGGAAGTGCAAACGTATTCAAACCTCAGTGATGGGAAAAGATATTATGGTGAAATATGGGTCTGAATAACAGTGAAATTTGAGCATCTCAGCAAAAATGTTACGTCACGAGCTTCACACAGCTCAGTTACTCAACAAAGGAGACAGACAGGAGGAAGGTCACACATGCCAAGGTTGTCTGGTTCTGTAATATCCAAGGAATGGAAACCTTTTAAAAGAACTGTGTGCAAGCTGTAGTAACAAAGAAAAACCAGTTCTTTAATGCGCAGCACCAGTAAAATTCATCAATGAGTTCATGACCCTTGTGAAAGGCTTCAGTGGCACATGAGAAACGAGTAGTAAACATTATTAGGAAAACACAAGAACAGGGTATGAGACAGTCAGTTAGCCTCGATCAGTAGTGACACATAATGTAACTGAGATAAGGAGAACTTCATACGTCTTTAACGTCCAAGCCATTTTTTCAAATTCAGTTCTCATTTGAAGAATGTTCTTATAATTTATATTGTCATAAAATAAAATTAAAATCTCATTAAAATGTTATAAACCGCTACATCTTCTATCGACCTCTACTGGCAATAACTTGGGAACTACAGTAACTTGAGCATGCTCATCCCTCTTTGCCCCTCCTGCGGCAAATTATTAAATAATAAGCACACAGTATGGAGATAAAATCCACAAATATTTAAAAAGCTAAATATATGAACTTCTGTACTCTGTTGTTCAACTTTCTGAACTGTGTTCCCTTATTGTTAATTTTGTGTATATTAAAATACTACTTCAAGGAAGTGCAACACACAGTTAGCTCCTGAGCTCATTGTGCAGACAGTCATTCTGTTCCTTTGTAATTAAAAAAAGGTACATCTGCTCTGCTTAAAATCAAAATTAGCCACAGACAACAGTGTTATAACACAGAGTCGCTGCCTTTCTTCTTCTGCATGGTCTTGTGATGCTGATGACATTATGATAATTAAGTGCACATATTAAAACTGCAGTTTTAGTATGAGTTATATTTCTCGCTTTGTGAGTTATAGTTTTAATTTAACCTATCACATGAAAAATGGTCAAATACGATTAATTTTGGGCTCCGGAGACAATATGAAGTCAAATGTTTTTTTATGCCTATCCGTGGTAGAATAATCCAAAAGTTTAAATGAAGTCGGCCTACAGTACCTTCACTCCTGTGACAAACTTTGGAATGTCTCCACTCCCTCCATGCAGGATGGTTTTCTTAATTCCTTCTGATCCCAGCAGGAGTGCGTCTTTCATATCCGACATCTTTACCTCACCTTAAATTACAAAGCATATATCTCACACAGAGGTTTGTGTCTGTGTTGTGATGGGTACAATATATGTAAAAGCTTGTTGATGATTTGGCGGTATCGATTGTGGTGGATTAGTTTAGGCAGAGATAATGAGATTAGAAACTTCTCCTCCTCTCCTTATGTCCCATCATCCCTCTGTAGCACTCATCCCCAGCACTTTCTCTAAACACAAAGAGGACGATAACAAATGAAACAACAATCCAGGACTAGATTTAATTGGGATGGATTTAAGTTTCTTTAGATTTAATGTCAACATTTGCCTGGATGAAAAGTCCTAATGTGCATGTTTGTGTGTGTGTTTGTGCTAGAGATAAAACATGAAAAGAAAACTCTGTACAGGTCTACAAGAGCAAAACTGGAATGGTTTCCATTCCAGAGGAAATTTCCAGGATTTATGTGGATGTGGTGATCCAAACAATGCAGAGAATACTGAGAAATGGTGGAGCAGACAATTACTCTATGGACTCCTTGACCTTGTCTATGAAACATCTGTCTCCCATCTGTGCAGTGCCTGTGTGCATGTGTGCGGGTGTGTTATCCAAGTGCCCCGTACTGTTTGCTAACAAAGTCTGCAAGCAGTTTGAGGGGGCAATTATTCCCAAGCATTACCCAGTGTTAATGTCTTATTCCATACTAATGGCACAAATAGAAAACCCAATAACTGCACCTTGGCAACGCTCACAATTGTGTAACTTTATAGGCTTGTGTTTCCTCTGTGCAACAACATGGAAAAGTTAGTGTTTCGCATTGAATTATCAAGCGAGACAGCTGTCTAATCTCTGTTCAAATAAGACCTCTATATCCCTGGAAAATGCTGCAACCTTCTATCAGGTTTGCCTTTCCCCCCCCACTGATGTGACAAACAGGATTGGGCAATAGTTCGGTATGTACTTGGCAGCTGCTCAAGGTAAAGGCAGAGTTCACCCCCTCTTGTGGAAGAGCTGGGCAGTGCAGCAGGAGTTTGCCTGCTTCTAGATCGTATTGCCTCTGATTTGAAAGTAAAGCTCTTAGAGGGAATCACGTGTAAAGCTGGCCTTTACAAACAAACTATTTACACAGTCTTGTGGCACAGAGGTGCTTATGTTAACTAAAACCTTCACAAACACATTTAAATGCCAGTTACAAAAAAATTAATAAATAAATTTCTCCTTCTTCTACATTCTCCCTGCCCTGTCTTCTCTCCTTTTCGAAAGTGAAATGCTGAAAATGCAACATGGGTACATGGCAGAGTGCCTCCCTCGGATGGCAGATTTGTGTTGCTATAGTTACAGCCTTTTGCATCATCATATCTCTGAGTTTAGAGGAACAATCTATCGCTAGAGTCCTATAATTATTCATAAACCTGATAGCATGTCCCAAGAAAGGTTTCAGATTTAAAGTCATGTGTATCACCATTTCTGGTCATTTCTTAAATAAAACAAAAAACAAAAAACAACAACAACAAAAAACATCTGACCTGCTGGAGAGGTAATACTATCACAGCAGTTTCTGTTATAACCGCTTTGTGTCAGAGTGACTCATATTTCTTGCGTCACAACGCCTACACCTTGTTCTATTGCTCTGCCTATGGTCCATTTGTGTGTGTGTGTGTGTATGTGTGTGCGTGCAAGCACGTCAGAATTTTCTGCATGTACATTGTAGCGTGGGAAATTGAATGCGCCACTTTGATGAACCACATGCTTGCATAGCTTTGAGAATGGGTTCATCTACAAGTAGTCCTTCCAACAGGCAGCACAACCCAGTCTCTGCCATATTTGGATTCTTCTGGAAACTAATTGGTGATGCAGTAGTTCCACCTTAAGTAAGTAATACTCTATTTCTGGAAAGCACAGTCATGGATTTCCTGGGGTGGAGCTGTTCACTTTGTAAAAAGCCTTTCATTCATATACATAACACACGTGGGAGGACTTCCTCCATGACGCACACTATATACGCACATAGAATAATGTTTATGGATGTGTACACCATTTGTGCTTCTGCTGCTGCTGGGAACAAAGCACAAAGAGTAAACAGGAGACAGACGAGCGATAGCTCGATTACCCTTTCTTTCTCTTTGAGATTGACACTTAGAGCTCATCAGGCAGATGCAAAAGGAGGAGGAACAGACACTGAGGGGAGGTTTGGAGCCAGCACACAAGAGCAGGAGACATCAAACACATGCATGCACATACACATATGTTTTATAGAATGGTCACTTTGAAAGTGCACCGAAGTGCTGAAACACAGAACAAAAAGAAAGGGTTTAAATAAAAAATAAAACACAAAGTGAGTTCTGTTCATAATTTTTATGGACAGGATTTCTAGGCGCAGCCAAGTAGCGGAGGGCTTTCGCTTTGGTGGCCTCAGAATCTCATCTCTGATTTTTGCGGATGATGTGGTTCTGTTGGCTTCATCGGGTGAGGGCCTCCAGCTCGCACTGGAGCGGTTCGCAGCCGAGTGTAACGCAGCGGGAATGAGGATCAGCACCTCCAAATCTGAGGCCATGGTTCTCAGCCGGAAAAGGGTGGAGTGCCCACTCCGGGTCGGGGATGAGTTCCTGCCCCAAGTGGAGGAGTTCAAGTATCTCGGGGTCTTGTTCGCGAGTGATGGGAGAAGGGAGCTGGAGATCGACAGACGGATTGGGGCTGCGGCTGCAGTAATGCGGACGCTGCACCGGTCCGTCGTGGTGAAGAGGGAGCTGAGTGTAAAAGCGAAGCTCTCAATTTACCGGTCGATCTACGTCCTACCCTCACCTATGGCCACGAGCTGTGGGTAGTGACCGAAAGAACGAGATCGCGGATACAAGCGGCGGAAATGAGCTTCCTCCGAAGGGTGGCTGGCCTCTCCCTTAGAGATAGGGTGAGAAGTTCGGCCATCCGGGAGGGGCTTAGAGTAGAGCAGCTGCTGCTCCACATCGAAAGGAGCCAGCTGAGGTGGTTCGGGCATCTGGCAAGGATGCCCCCTGGGCGCCTCCTGGGCGAGGTGTTCCAGGCATGTCCCACCGGGAGGAGGCCCCGGGGCAGACCCAGGACACGCTGGAGAGATTATATCTCTCGGCTGGCCTGGGAACGCCTTGGTATTCCCCCGGACAAGCTGGAGGAGGTGGCTGGGGAGAGGGAGGTCTGGACCTCTTTGCTTAGGCTGCTACCCCCGCGACCCGACCTCGGATAAGCGGATGAAGATGGATGGATGGATGGACAAAGTGAGTAAAAATAAAACCAAATGACACCCAGTGTAAGGAAGTGTAAGGAAGCAAATATGGGGGACATGAGGGCTTGTTTGTATGTGCCAATTAACAGCCATGCCTCTGGGTTTTGGATCTAGTTAAAGTTGACTATGTAAGCAATGACACCTGGACAACTGTTACAAAAAATGAAGTCGAGATGAAACTGAGGAATGGATTACCATCTGAAAGTCTCTGAAGCTCAGAAATGGCTTTACTTTTGCAGGTAGCTGAAAAAAGCTAACTTTAACGAGAGCATTTATGTATTTATTTACGTGTTTATTTTAAAAAATATAAATCCTCAAAAGGCAGAGATTGTGGAGGTTAGGAGTTCCAGTCACAATGATTAACAAAATTATGTGTTAACATCATGGGCCACAACAACCAACTTTGATCCTAAGTGGGCTGGAACGAACTATGTGATTACATAAAACGTTCTCTTAGTTCATTGCTCACATCGTACTGTAATTATGAAATATAACGTTTTTCTTAATTCACAGAAAATGTAATTGTTTATCTATTACTTTGGTGTAGTATGAATGGCAATGGCAGGGTTGGTCTTTATCAATAGAAACAGCTTTAAAACTGTGAAAACGCAGGTAAAAATTTATGCAGTTGTTCACATTTTCCAAAGGTGTCCAGTGGGCTGGATTGGAGTCTTTGCCAGGCCAATTCTGGCCCCCAGGCTGTAAATTTGACACCCCTGCTTTACACAGTCCACTGAGGCCCTTGGAGGAGTCATGGATTTACGTTTCAGTAGCTGGTAAATCAGTGAGTCATCTGCATAACAATGAAACAATGATATGCATGCTGGGTCAAGGATGGACTGTGATAAAAAACAAATCTTTAAGTAAACTGACCTACTTTACAAATTTAATAGTAATTTTAATGTCAGACATCCTCGTTTACCTGATAAGTGCTTTCACTTTTGAAACAATGGTTTGATTTTGCCACCAAAAGATTGTCTCATTTTACTGAAACCTATCATCCTCCCATTTTCTCCTGCTTACCCAATTCAGGATGGTGGTCTTGGGGGGGCTGGAGACTATCCCAGCTGCCATGGGTTGAGAGGTGAGGCACAGCCTAGACAGGTTGTCAGTCTGTCGGAGGGCTAACACAGAGACACAGACAACCACTGAGGCTCACATTCACACCCATGGTCAATACAGCCGGAGAACGCACAGGGAGAAGGTAGAATGGCCTCTGCTGGCCTTTGGCACAGCAGACATGAAGCATTAGAAGTTATTTAGTCAGGTGTATTTTCACCTCAGAGTCAGTTCAGTATTCAGTTATTTTAATTCTGTTATATTATATTACTGAAGGAGTTATCTGAAGGAAATATCTGAGACTTCTTGAAAAAAATATATTTAAAAATATTTTGCTATGCTTTAAGATTTAACGACATACAGCAAAAGCAGCCATACACTGTATGCATGCAAAGCTTGTACTTTTTGGTGAAGGATCGAAATAGTTCTCCCACTGCTGACAATACAGAGCGGGTTCATGGGACTGCGTCACAAACCGTCTATCGCTTCTGTGTTTATGCATGTGCACATCTCTCAGGTTTAGGAGAAGTGACAGAATCGATGGTTACGTGGCGAATCACAGCCTCCCTGGTCACTTCCACAGAAATGCTTCCTCGAATCGCCAGAGAAAAACTGATCGAGTGTAAACCTCTCTGCAAAGCACATGCAAGCGTCCCGTTCAGCCCAGAGTCAGTAACCTCAACTGGAAGTCTTGATCATACACAAATGCGAAGGCTCATGCACACTAGTGTTTTGAGGTTTGATCTGCTTTGACTTTGAAAGGAAAACTTTCAACCTACCCTTTTTCCTACTTAGTTGAATAGATGAAT